AATGCAGTCACTTTCTAAATGCCACATTTAAGATGAGAAAATTTAGTCCAAAATATATTTCATACCTCTGGAAATAAAGATCTATGTAAAAGAGCTGTATTCCCATTGAACCATTATATTCTGAGCTATTTCCATTCAGAGAGACTAAATAATAGACCTCAAGGCAAGTTTCAGAGAACGATAGAATCTGATTTTATGTGACCGAATGAATATGTCTAAAAGCAAAGTATGGTTCATTCAATAAAATTGCAATTTACAGATCCCAGCACTGATATCTTACATTTTCTCCCACATTATATAGCTTAATGTTAAAATGGTTTTTTCACTTTTTAATTTTAAATTCATATTCTTCTACTTAGTCTTCTCTTGCTACAGAGGATTGCCCAGAATATTTCTGTCCAAATGGATTTGTTTGGTGCTAACAGTCAAATTGAAGCAGGTTTTGAAAATAACAGAACCTTCTTTCCTTTATTCAAAGAAATATTTAATAGGAATTTCCCTTTGGAAGTCTCCCCAAACCTATTCATCATTGTCATTCTTCGCCATCAAGCTTTATTTTCATTTGTGGAGACCAAAACTGAAAGGTATGCTCAATTTTATATATTACAGGGATACATATTAAATAGTGAAATCCTAGCCAATCAAAAATGATATTGGTGGGTAGCTCACCTTTATTTAATCTATTCTTAATTTAAATATCACAAAGTAATCTCTAAACCTGCTGACCTTTTCCAAAATGGCACAAACGAGATTTGTGCCATGCATGAGATTTCATTGCAAGCTCATAATTAAACAGGTATCGTCATCTCCAGTCTACAAACTTCAAAAGAGCAAATGGTTTGCTTCAATGTCTTTGCATGTCTGATGTTTTCCAAACCCTCTCCTCCATGAACCTCTAGCAGGTTCATCGAGGGGCTTTTCCAACCCAGACACACATGACCTTCAGCAAATCACAGACTTCACTGAAATCGTTCTTTCTCTGAAGGCAAATGGAGATGCCGACTTCCCCCCCATTAATCGAGAGGGGCTCACCATGCAGAGAAAATGATACCCCCTGACCAACTGTTAATATATTTGTACTTTAGCAGAGGCATGCAAGAAAAGACGGCCGGATAATATGGGCTGTTCTTAAAATTTTTTCCCTAAAATCACCTTCGCTTCAGGACCACTTTTTTATTTCTACTTCTAACACAAAATGTATAGAATTATATATTTGCTATTTCTGCTTCTTTCTCCAAGCCATCAATGTAGCTATTGAATAGCTTATTGGGGACCAATCTCACACTACTTGTTGCCATAGATTGGCAACTTACCTCAATAATTATAGTTCACATCAGACTCAGAGGTATCTTTATCCCCAAGACAATATATTTAAATACAAAATGTTCCTCTTGTGAAGAGAACTTTAGAGGCACAGATAAGAGCATTATTATAGATGATGTGGAAATTGTTTGCTCATTTAAATATTCAGCACTCTTACAAAAGTAATTATGTTGCTCTGATAGTTTGCTTTAGAGTAAGTCTCTGTAATTTTCAGTATTTTATTTTTTTGGTGAGTGACTCAGAGTTGAAATTAACCAATCTCTAATCTAAACTTCACTCTCGTCTACGCAGAATTATCCCCAATGAGAGCAGAGGTTTTTGAAATGTTCCTTCATTAGCTCTACCTTCATGGGAAGATACAGAAACTATTATCTTCACATCTCTAGAAATAGAGAATAGTCTTACCTTGCTGATATCAAGTTTAGAAATAGCACATCCTTTCTACTCAAAGTTGAGTCAAGGTTGCTGCTTGGCATGCAATGGTGAGCATACTTTGGAGAGTTTTTCTGTCCCACACCAATCACAGACTACACTTTCATTCCTAGGAAGAGGCCAGGGTCAGGCCACTTTGGAGGAAAACATGCAGTGTGTGTATGTTAGCTTTACACCAATCTTTAAAGTCTATAACCGCTTCTCTTGGGGTATGGACACAATACTGTATTTTCAATGGTCTGATTTAATAACACTGTCTTAACAACAGCAAACTGAATATATGAGCTAGGAAAACTAAACTTTGGGGACCTTCTGCTCTTGTACCTACAAAATGAATTTTGCAGGATTTAGCCACCATCTTCTAAAACTTGCTTTGTCTGTACCAGGGGCTGAGCAAGCACATGGATGTTGCAATATGTAACATTTATTAAAAATTTAGCCCCCCCCAAAAAAAATAGGTTTTCATTGATTTCAGTTAAGAACAGTCTCCTATGGTGTTATTTCCTTTTATTTACATGTTTCTAATAACTGTCTGTATATATCTTCATATTTTGATAGATCTATGGCCCTTGCAATAAAATATTGGGCTTCAGGAAAGTCATGACGTATTTGTCTATGCAAAAATGCATCATAACTTTTCTGACAACCCAACAGTAATCTTTCTCTATTGTGATCTTTTTCATTAGTTCAGTATGAACTATGCTTCTTTCTAGAGTCCTAGTTTGTAACTTTATTTGAAGTTGATTGATACAACAAATAATTAGTATAACAATATTTTTAAAGCCATACTAGGGTTACTTTAATGTGGCTCAAGTGTGATTTTAAGAACATATTTTAAATCCAATTTTCTTTTGAAGATTTCTAGTATTTGCAACTTTAAATATCTCTTAAAAGGACAGGTAATTCAAACACTTTACTGGTTAATGCCTATATCTTTCATCACAGTATTGTTGCCCTGACTCTTTAGAGCTATCATTATTATTATACAATGCTGTTTCATTGAAATTTGAGCAATTTTACTGAACTATTCCAAAAGATTAGGCAGCAAACCCAATAAGAGGCTACAGGTTTAAGTAGTTGACATGATGTCAAGAATTTTTAAATTTTCTATGAGGCATTTCCAAGATTTTTTAGAAAGTTTCTTTACATAAAATTTGTAAACATTTTTTTTTTCTCTGAAAGAAATGACCTCTTAAAAAATAGAATGAGATGAAGAAACTATTTGCGGACTATTAACGTCAGGTGCTGTGTGAGATGTTTCTTTTACCTCATTCCATTCTGTCTGAGGGAGTGATACCTATTTTGATAAGTAGCATGGTTGAGGTCACAGAGATGATAGCAAAGCCTATTTTCTGAGTAGTTGGAGGAATATGGGCAGAAAAGAAAGTCAATTCAAAAGTTACTGCTTCTGTTGTGAATAGTCTGTGGTGATGATAGTCACAGCTTGCGGGGTGCCCCTCAGTGTGTTCGGGGCTCTTCCTGCAAACCTGTGGGGTCAGTTTCCTTGCCTCTTGGAACCGGCTTGGCCTTGTGACTTGCTTTGGACCAGTGCAGATGAGAGGGAGGGGTACTGTGCAGTCTCCAGAGTCCTGGGGAGAACCACCACCCAAGTGGGCAAGCTCATGCTTGACCACTGAGCTCAGAGTCACTCCTCAGGCCAGAAAGAGGCCCGTCTTAGTGTCAGATCTGTGAGAGAAGTCATGTTGGACTTTCCTGTCAGGATCTCTCTGGGGAAGGTAGATGTGAGAATACCCACCCCCGCCCACCTCCATGTGAAGCAGAACCCAAAAATATGTAGCACTGGTGGGCAACCAGCCGGAAGGACAGTGATCATGCTGTGGAGAACGCAGTGAGGACAGTGCAGGCGTGGGGGAGATGACCCCAGCAGGAGTATCACCTGTGAGCATGGAAGCTGCAAGTGTGGAATAAGCCTGTAGATTTAACTCACAAGATTAACATGCAGAATGCTCAAGCGCCAGATGCTGTCTTTTAGCCATGTCTGAGCACACATTATAAGAGAAAAATAAGCTTGAAAATCACTTGGTTTTCAAGCAGATTTCAGAGGAAATAAAGAGGCAGTCACAAAGTAAGACATTCTCTCCTAGTAACATCTGCCACTGAAAACCTCTAGGGAAGAATTTAAAAAGGGGGCGGGGCTTAATGGGAGGTCAAAGAGGGTGGGGGTGAAGATATAACAGTCTCAAAAACATGGCGGCCCAACATGCACAAAGACTATCTCAGTGGAAATCTGGATGGGTTTGTGGGACATCAGAGCAGCAAGTCCTGATAAAGCCACACACAACTCTCAAAGGTCTAAAGAAAGTTCTGCCAGGAAAGGAGCCACCTGATGGGACTGAAACAAAAAAGGAAAAGAGGTCACAGTTTCCCCATACTCTATGATCAGGATGAAAGGAGAGAGAGCTACTTCACAGCCAACCACCATCTTTTCTTTAGAAGGAAGGAAGACACAAGGCAAGCAGGATCGAGAGGGTAAAGGTAAGGTTCTTTCTGCCCTCTTTGGAACCAGCTCAGCTGGTTCTACTGAATGAGAAACCAGCAAATGGAGGGAAAGTCTCAGCACACACAGAACTTCCTTTTCAAGCAGTCAGCAGTCTATTGAAGCATAGGAAATTGTTGTTTGAACCACTGCATTTTGGATAATTTGCTGGACCCTGAGATAGAACTGAAACAAATTTTTGCTCCCAACATTTAGTAGAAAACCACTGAGGAAATAATCTGAAAGCATGCCCACTGAGAACATTTCACCTCTGAAACAGAATTAATCTTCTTTTACTGGCCTTTTATCCCTCACAGTCCTAGCCTCTAAAACTACCATGGCTTGATTTGTTCACGTAATTAACAATCAAATTATGTGGTTTACAACTTTATATATCAGATACTAAACCTCTTTGTTTATGTAAAATGAATTTGTTTCTCAATTTATCATACTGTTTGTGATTCAGTTACAGGATCACACCTCTTCGTGAAATGTTCTCAAAGTTCCTTTTATTTCAGAAGGTTTGTACCTTTTAGAATTCAAATTGTTTAAATTGTCTTTACCATAACATGCGACATCAATTAGGCAAAACAAGACAATCCTTATCAAATCAGTATTAAAGTTTTCTGCTAATATTTCCAGTTAAACAAAAATATGCCTTTATATTTAAGATATGAAAAATAAAGGATAAAGATTTACTTAACTAAGATCCGGATCTTGAATTCAACAGATTTAGTGAAATACTAACCAGTTTTGTAAGTGCCTGAGTTCAGTTTCCAAGTTCTCATTCGTTTTTTTCTGTTCATCCAAAGCTCTCTGGAGTTTATGTATCTGGTTCAGGAAATCATCAAGCTGAAAGCAAAGTAGAAAACTTGTAAGTAAATGTGTGTGAGATGAGCACATCTTTTTAAATATATTTTTCATAACACATTCTCATTGATAATTTCTTTTGTATATGCGTGGATACAGAAATCTCAACGGTATTAAATGTACAATTCATTAGTAAGCATCTATAGACTCAAGACTTAAAATTGTTTCTGGTCATTTTTTCCCATTTTTATCTTTGTCTTCTATGTCACTGTAATAGAACTTATGCTTATTACTCACCTGACTGAAAATAGTCAATTTTGTAATGCGTGAAAGTCTAAATATTCATTTTCCCATGTATATATGTACAGTTACTTTAAAAGAAATCGATCAAGTGCATTGTCTGAGGTCCCTGGAAGGTGTTCCTCTGGGAAACTGAGGCATTGCTGTAGTTCTAATTTGGCATTTGACTATCTACAGCCATAAATATTCAGAGAGGACTGAGGGAAAATATTTTGGAATGGTCTGTAAATTACAATCTACGGCACAACCATAACTTAGCTATAAAGCCCTTTCATCTACCTTTCTTTCCTTCAAAAATACTGAGTGATGCAGGGAGCACAAATCTGCCTGCTCAAATATCATATTTTTTTTTTTTTTGGCAAAAGCTTGATTTCAGGCAATAGCTCTGAAGGATGAATGAGGTCTGGTTTTGATATTTATAGCTCAACATCTCTACATAAGGGTCTATTCCAAGAAGCCCTCATCCCCTTATTTCCTTAGCATGTCCCCGAGCTGAATTCCCCCCTTTCTCTCGCACCCCTCTCCACCCCTGTCCCTTGTCCTAGCTAAGCTGGATAGGAAGGCTTCTGCCCTGCCACGCTGTTGTATACAGGGGGTACCATGTTATTAAACTTCTCTATGGCTTTTTTTCTCTTTAAAAAAAAAAAGAAAATTTCAGAACAATTTTAATTCTACTATATATGAAAAACATATTAGGTTAGTAATTAGGTTCAATTGGAACAGATTATTTCACATTTTCGTTTTTCCTAAATATGTAATTGGAAAAAACCCTACTTAGCATTGCAGTGCCAAGATAGCTCTTAAATGATTGAGAACAGTTATCTTTAATTTAAAAACCCGCAGCTTCTATTTTATCATTTTGGAGTTTAATATATGGATGCCAATATGGTATATATGAGAACAACCTGGAAACCTTAACAGATGTTAGATATTTCAGGACTTTTTTGGTCCAACTACATGAAACACAGCAGTATATGCAACTTAAATAAAAGTTGCTCATTTTAAAACTGGAGTCAATTTTGTAATGCATGACAAGTCTTAATATGTATTTTTTCCATCATACTGAAATCTCTGAAAGAAAGACATATTAAGCCAGTCTTTACACAAATCATTTTCACTGATTATGAAGAAGTCAAATTGACCTAAATGGTTACTAAAAGTACTGTGTTTAATTCTACTTTATCAGATCTAGTTTATCCCGTAGAACAGCTTGCAGTCATTAAAGTGCTTCTATTTCATGATGCTATTTTATGCTATTAATTTCGAGAGGAAAAGCCTCATAATACTGTAATACGTGACATTTTATATGTAAAGTTACATAAAGAAACACCATAAATACTGGTCTAACAAGTTGCTATTTTCTAAATCAGTGTCAAGTTTTCATTTAAAAGTGCATTTAGTTTTTAAAATGTAGAGATGTTTTAAGGGCAAGATGTAACCCATCTATTTACATTTTCTCATCTGGCCACCTTGAAGCCTTGGCTAAAATGCAATCAGGCCCTATTATCCACTTGACAAATCTTTGAATGGCCTTCAGTGCCTAAAAAAATAAATCTCAATTCCCAGATTAGCAGGTAAGCCCTTCCCCTGTGTCTTCTCTCACTAGCTTCTATAATCCAGACTTGTTGCCTGCTCCAGCCTCCTTCAGGTTTAGTAGGTTCCAGCAGACAACAGAGTAAGTTTGCTGGTAATTTGGTCATTTGATTTTCCATTATCATTTCTCACCTATCTTCTGGAGTGGACCGCCACTCCACCCATAAAATCCTTTAAAATAGGCTTCTAGTTTTTAACATATATAGGACTCACTTTGCGGCCTTGGTCTCAGGGAGGGCTCAAGATTTTTATATTTTGCCCTAATTCCCAGGCAACACAGATGCTGCTGGAACACATTGAGTAGCAGTCACCACAGCTACCCTGACTTGCTGATGGACCTTTCTTCAGCTATGACCCGATGTTGATGAGAGTTTTCCTATACCCTTGAGTTTCCCAAACTAACTTGCTATAGTCATTTCCTGTATTTCTTTCTCAGGAAGAAGCTTCTTCAAAGTACATCAGTCCCCTGGTTGTCCGGATGCCCATACATGAACTACACACGTGCATGACCTTTAACGCCCCCCTCCCGGTGTTCCTCACGACTCCCCGGGTCACCGGTATGTAGCATGCGCTCCTGTGTCACATCTATTTTATCGTTCCCATGAAGGCTTTGCACTGACTTCTCTCTGCCAGGAAACTTTCAACAGATGTCTATTACGGTCCCCTGACCCCAAAACAAGAATCCTGACTTTAAGTTTCATGATGTACATATTAATTGTCTTGGTCTCTCTTTACCAGAGCAAAAATGCCACAAGGAAGACATATTCCTTTTGTGGCTGAGTGTGCTGAAAGAACAGGTGGACTCTGGGTAAGCTACAGCAACAGAGGCCCTTCTACTTTTGTTAAAAAAAAATCTTTGCTGAAAAAGTAGGCAACAATTTGAAAAAATTCTATATTAATGGCATCTTAAAACTTTTATATTCCAGACAAATCCAATTCAATATTTACTGTGAGTGCAGAATAATTGCTTTGTTCCTGCTGCTGCTTGGGTAAGGCCCCAGGCAGTCTGCCTGAAATCTGAGTAGATTCCAAAAATTTTACGATTCAAGAAAAAATATGTTCAAACCATATCCTATAATCTGATCAGACTACAGGGTAACAAAGGTCTCAGCTATAGTCTAACCTTACTCCGTTAGGAGTAAGGAGACAATGTCTTCAGCTAAAACAGAGTTACAATTCCTGGAAAATACTCATTTCTATCCCTGAAAACGGAACAAAAGATTAGAAAAGAATATCCTGGGGGGAAAAAGAAAAGCCTGTTCGATACTTCAGGCAGCAACATATGAAAGCTGTTTTCATTTGTATTGTAATTCTTTGTCTAAATTTAAATGAAGACAGGTGCTAATCAGTTCTGATACCTCTTTCCATTAGCGACGGCACAGGACCAATTCCAGCCCCAGAAATGGAAGTGACATGTTGTGCATCAGAGATGCTGTCAAGTCCTTTTGGCCAATCTGCTCCAACTCTGCTCCAGGGCATGCACAGTGTGGTGTCTTTATAAGCTTTCCAGCTTGGAATTTGATTAAGTAAATGAAGAATGATGGCATCAACTCAGATAAGTGTCCTGTTCACACATTCTCTCTAACCGACTCACTCATGTGATGGAGCTCAGTTGGAAGAAATGAGAGGCCATCATCACTTTACCAGCATCAGGTGATTCATACAGAATCATTTTGTATAGATATTTTTAATTGAGATAATCTGAACCATTTCACTGAGGATCATATCATAATATGCCCTTCATCCAAATAGCAGTATTTTACTGAAATTTCATAGTGGCTTTTAGTGGAAAGTAGTTCATAAGAAATCTATTACTTGTATCATAGGATTACTGCTTACTTTTCAATGCCAAAATCAATTTCATGACTTTTAATGCAATATAGTGTTGCTAGTTATATTGTGTATCATGTTGCTAGTTACATGGAAATTATTATATGACTTAAATTCAGTAACTCCAAGAAGTTATTACTAAGATATTCAAAATTAAAATGTGAACTTCAAATATAAAATGCTCTTTGGCTTGTAATTCACATTGTGTGAGATTTACTAGAACAGTTTGCTACAGGTCTTCTTTATACATATGTCATTGAATTTCATAGAGCTTCTAAATTTCTACTCGGTACTGTTATTTCTAAGTAAGTAAAAGTAGCTTCATTGTCTACTGGACAATTAAAATACTTAAGTATTAAACATGCTGACACTGGATAATGTAATGCTTAAATAATTGACCTTCCAGGTCAATAACTTTTCTAATAAGGTAATAATGCAAATATTTTAGATATAGAGTTAATGAAATTAATGAGAATATCTTGGCTAAGTCAGGGTGAATTAATTTCTTTAGAACAGGTATGTTTGCTTATAAGAGAAATGGCTTAATTGAGTAATTCTATATGAAATGTGACAAGGATCAAATATGAGACTCTGGTTTTAAGGAAACTATTTTTGGAAACTGAAGACAGTTTTCTCTGTACTTTACAGCAAATGGAATGATGAAAACTATATTCCCAAAGATTTTATTGTCATCTTAGTGACAAAATACCAGAATAAATTTTCAAGTGCCTGTCTTTTGGTGCCATGCATCTTTCTTTTTGGGAACACGTGTAGTTAAATCTGTGCTAAAGCTCAGCATTCTTAACACCAACCAAAAATTGAGCATGAAAACAGTCTCAGAAAAGAATAAATTTGGAGAACCCCCACTTTCTGATTTTAATACTAAAAATTGAGAGTGATCAATACAAAGTGTTATAGGTACAAGGATAGATGTATAGGTCAGTGAATTAAATTGTGCTGGGCCCAGGGAAAAAGCTTACATTTATGATCAACTGGGCTTGACAAGACACTTCAGTAGAGAAAAAAAAAATCTTTTCAACAAATAGTTTTGGGCCACCTAGATAGTCACACTTGAAAAATTAAAGCTGGGCCCTACCTCACATCAAACTGGATCATAGTCCCAAATGTAAGAGTTAAAACTATAAAACACATAGAAAGTGGGAGTAAAACTCAGTGGCACTGGATTGCACAAAGCTATCAAGAAATTGAAAAGCTAATCCCCAGTGAGATAATATTTGCAAATCATGTATCTAAGAAGGGACATATGTCCAGAATGTACAGAAAACACAACTCAACATTAAAGGGCAAATATCCTATTA